GTTCTTGTGAGTTGCTCTTGTAGGAATTTTGAGAAGAGTGCTGTAAATAAGTTTACACGAATTCTTATTGGTTTGTTGCATATTTTATTTCTTATTAATTTCATCCATATACAGTAAAGTGTCTATTACTCTGTTATTTTTTCACTGTGCATGCTAAGTATATCTGAATGACAAACTAACCGCCTCCTGTTTCCCACAGCTGAAGTAACGCAAGCATGACGCGCGTGATGTTCCTGGCGGCGATCGCTGCTTTCGCCATCTGTGCCGAGGCAGCTTCACTGGGTAATCAATTGTTTTCCTTAGAATTTTGTATTAAGAGTGAATCTGTTCAGGTGATGATATTGATGTCCCTTTGACCTTCCATCTTGAAAGATACATGTAAGAGTGTTAATGTTCAACCATGAAATTCATAAAATCCTACATTTCAGGCCCTCAAGGGGAGCTGCACCGGGCAAAACGTCAGTTCTCTTGGGTGAGCTGATGTGATATTCCTCCTGAATTACAGTTAATGGTTATATAAACGATAATTAAGTACCTTTTGTACATCGTAAATGGTGAGAAATGCAAAGCCAGTGTGTATAGCATGCGTCAATTAACCTTGCTTTATTTTTCAGTCGAGCGACCAAAATATAGAGCAACTCGGTGGAAAAGAACCCGGCGGACAGCAGATGGTCAGTTCCCTCAACACTTTCCTCGGCAACACTCAAAAGGTCGGCCAACTAGGTTTTGGGGACAACCACAAGCAGTTTGTGCATCAAGGCTTCTCGCTTTTCGGACCCAGCAAACAAGAAGTCGAACAGATTGCGACAGGAAGTGGACCCCAGGAGCAGACAGTCAGTCAAAAGGGTAGCGTCTTTGGCAGCAGCAGCCAGAGAGTTATTCAGAGAGGAGGTAGTAAACAGATTGTGGTTGGCAAGTAAGACACGAATCCAGTCTTGCCTCTGTGTTGCTGTAAAATCTGGTTGACTTTATTCGTCCATGGTCAAAGAATTGACCAGGGAACTAGCATTGTATGTGATGACTGTTTCAGTGGAAATTCCTCGGCATCAAATATAATTTCCTTAGCAGTAATATTGTTTCATTTTCACGGGAGTTTCCAAGACTGAAAATATGAAATATAAAATGGTTCACACACACTTACGTGAGATTATATATAATCGTATGCTTGACTGAATTTACTCATTGCAACTAAATGAATTTGAAAAAGTGACAAGAAGGAAGAGGATGATATGACACTATCCGTAAAACTGCTTTAGAAATAAGAACACAAGCAACGATCGGAGGCTTGCGATTAGAGGCACATATAGACATGTTTGAATTACAGAAGTATACATATCAGCGAAAAAAGTAACTTTTATGTGTCCCACCAGTGATGGTGTCTTAATCCCTTCGGTTAATATGATAAGTCCTCGTTTTTTTCCCCCTAACTGATACGTAAGGGCTTCGATTAAGAGCCTAAACTATCTCCCAACATGCATCACTCGAGTAAATCTTTTGTATAAGGAAAGAATAAAACATCCACAATTGGAAGAGAAGGCACATGTACACGCTTAATTTATATATACCTACTTGTTTATTTATATACATGCTCACACAAACACATATATGCTATACATACTGCATATATATGTGTGTGTGTGTGTGCGTGTGTTTGTGTTTGTTTTATTTGTGTGTGTGGGTGTTGCGTGTGCGTGTGTTTTTGTGCGTGTATTATGTGTATACGTGTGTGCATGATGCCAGAACAGGATGGACCCTATTCTATTTCTTAAAACAGACACGTTTCCATAGTTTTATCATTTTATTAATCAGAAGTGAGTCTGAAATATATTTACAGCACAAAGCAAGATTATGAAAAGGAAATCGAAAGTTTATCATTAGCCACCTTAATTGACATGAGTAATCATAACATCAATATTATTATTACTATCATTATCATTATTATCATTATCATTATTATTACTACAATTATGATTATGATTATTATTGTCTTTGTTAATAGCATTTATATTATAATTTCTGCCATTATATTTCTTTTGTAACTATCAATATTAGCATTAGCAGTATTATTATGATTATTATCATTATTATTGTTATTGATATTATTATTATTATTATTATAATTATTACTTGTAGCTGTAGTAGGAGTATATTAATACTATCATTTTGATTAAAAATAATGATAATTATATTAATGAAAATAAAACAATAAGAATAGTAGTAATAAAGTAATAATAACAAGTAAGGATAATAATGATAACGATAGTAATGATAATAATGATGGTGATTAATGTTATCATTATTAGTTTTATTATTATTATATTATCATTACTATCATTATCGTTAATATCAGTATCACCATTATCATTATTGCTATTATCATCCTCATCATCGTCATTATTATCATTATTATTATTGTTATTATTATCATTATCATTATCACTGTTATTATTATTATTAACACTAACATTATTATTACCATTATCAATATTATTTTCATTATTATCATTATTTTCATTACCACCATCATCACTAATACTGTTATTAGTACTATGATTATGAAAATTATTGTTACTCTTACTATCCTTCTTCTTATTATTGTTAATATTATTTTTATTATTATTATTATTACTATTATTTTCATATCACATCCAATACTACCATTATTATTATTGTTGCTATTATTGTTATCATTATCCTCCTCATCATCATCACCATTGTTATTGTTATTATTATTATTGTTGTTGTTGTAATTATCATCATCATTAGGGTAATTAATATCATTATTATCACTATTATTATCATTATTGATATTATTTTCATATGATGATAAAGATTACTATTACAATTATCCTTATTATCATTATGATTAATATTATCGTTACATCTATTATTATTATTATTATTATCATTATCATTATTCATTTAATTGTTGTTATAACTATTGTTATCATTGTCATTATAACTTATAATTATTATTATTATAAAATCAGTAACATGCAAATAATAATAACATCAATAATAATAATAGTAATAATAATGCTAATAATAATAATAATAACAACAATAATAGCAGAAAAACAACAACAATAATAATAATAATGACAAGACTAATAATGATGCTGTTATCATTATCATTAATATTATCGTTATCATTACCACCATTATTATTACCATTTTGTGATTAATAATAATAATGATGGTAATAATTGTAATGATAATAATAGTAATGATAATGATGATAATATTATTGTTAGTATTATTATAAGTGAATGACTGAATATGATGATAATAGTAATAATTATAACAATAATGATAATAATAATAATAATAATAATGATAATGATAATAGTAAAAATATATATAACGCGAATAATAATGGTTATGATAAGGGTAATGCTAATGACAATAATAACAGTATTAATAATAATAATAAAAATAATAATAATAATGATGATGATGGTGATAGTAATAATAATAATAATAATGATAATAATGATAACAATAATGATAATAATAATGATAATAATAATGGTAATCATAAAGGTAATGATGGTATTAATAATCATGAATATCATGAATATATTTAAGATAATAAAATAACAGTAATAATAATAATCATAATACTGATAAAAACGATGATAAAAGCAATTACAATTTTTAGAGATGATAGTTATATTGATAACAGTAATAAGAATGATAATGATATTAATAAAAATAATGACAACAAGAACAGTAATGATAATAACAACAGTATTAATGATAATAATAACAATAAGAATAGTAATAATGGTAATAATGATTTTCCTTTTCATTATTATTGTTATAAGTATTATTGATGTTATTATTACTATTATCATTAATATTATTATTATTACTATTATTATAATGATAGGAGTAATAATGATAATAATGATAATAACAATAACGGTAATGATAATGACAATGAAAACATTATGTTAGAGATAATCCAATAATGATAATAATAGTTGTAGTAATAATAATAGTACTATTAAGACTGATGAAAATAATAAGATAGTACGAGTAGTAGTAGTAGTACTAATTATAGTACTACTACTACTAATTATTATTATGTAGATAATAACAAACACAAAATAACACCAACAACAACAAAAATAACAATAGCAAAAAAAAATAACGTTGATAATGACAACAATAATAATGATAATGATGATAATAACAACAATAATAAGAGAGGGTGAGTGAGAGAAAGAATGAGAGTGAGGTGAGGATATTTCTCATGCTGTGTCATCGACCCGGGCAATTCCAAGGCTGTAGAGACAGATCGCCGTATAAGTGTTAACAAAAAAGGTAATTCTATTCTTTATTATAAGCGCAAACACTACGTACTCAAGAATATTTATAGGTTAGGACATTTACAAGGGAGCCTCCAGAATTGCTGATAATTACCTGGAAGATCGTGTACCTGAGCCCACCACTTCTTTTTCCGTCACCGAAAGCAAGAAGCAACGCTAATGCTGCATTAGAACATCCTCAGTTCAATCTTAGGGCGAGCAAAGGGTTACGTCACCCATCTTTCTTTCATTTATACATGAACATATATGTACATACAATGATATATATATATTCATACATGCATACATAGAAACTAGATATGTGTGTGGGTTTTTATATATACACGTAAGTTTGTATGAATATGTATTCATATATGTATGTGATACCCAAATGCATGCATAGAAAAACACACGAGAACACATATTTGTGTTTCTATATGTATATATGGTCTTATTCTTTATCTGTAATCATGATGAAAGCTAATGATTTTGATCGCAGTATCGGCGTGAGCCTAATTACGAAAGACTTTGTTAGTATAATGCTTAGACTTGTATTTTTGCATAGTTGTCAAATAAACTAGAATGACGTTGCCACGTGACACAATAACTGTGACGTCGCTAGGAAGGGGAAATCCCAGAAGGTACGGGATATAAAAAGGGGCTCCAGCGCATCCCTGCTCAGTGTGTTTGTGACACTGCTATCGGCTCCGTCAGTTGGTCTTGTGAGTTGCTCTTGTAGGAATTTTGAGAAGATTGCTGTAAATAAGTTTACACGAATTCTTATTGGTTTGTTGCATATTTTATTTCTTATTAATTTCATCCATATACAGTAAAGTGTCTATTACTTTGTTATTTTTTCACTGTGCATGCTAAGTATATCTGAATGACAAACTAACCGCCTCTTGTTTCCCACAGCTGAAGTAACGCAAGCATGACGCGCGTGATGTTCCTGGCGGCGATCGCTGCTTTCGCCATCTGTGCCGAGGCAGCTTCACTGGGTAATCAATTGTTTTCCTTAGAATTTTGTATTAAGAGTGAATCTGTTCAGGTGATGATATTGATGTCCCTTTGACCTTCCATCTTGAAAGATACATGTAAGAGTGTTAATGTTCAACCATGAAATTCATAAAATCCTACATTTCAGGCCCTCAAGGGGAGCTGCACCGGGCAAAACGTCAGTTCTCTTGGGTGAGCTGATGTGATATTCCTCCTGAATTACAGTTAATGGTTATATAAACGATAATTAAGTACCTTTTGTACATCGTAAATGGTGAGAAATGCAAAGCCAGTGTGTATAGCATGCGTCAATTAACCTTGCTTTATTTTTCAGTCGAGCGACCAAAATATAGAGCAACTCGGTGGAAAAGAATCCGGCGGACAGCAGATGGTCAGTTCCCTCAACACTTTCCTCGGCAACACTCAAAAGGTCGGCCAACTAGGTTTGGGGGACAACGGCAGGCAGTTTGTGCATCAAGGCTTCTCGCTTTTCGGACCCAGCAAACAAGAAGTCGAACAGATTGCGACAGGAAGTGGACCCCAGGAGCAGACAGTCAGTCAAAAGGGTAGCGTCTTTGGCAGCAGCAGCCAGAGAGTTATTCAGAGAGGAGGTAGT